TATAAGCGAAGTTGATTTTAAACAAATGTGTTATGTCAAACCTAAAAGACATAACTGGGTTAGGTGAAAACCGATAAAAGTAGAAAACAAAACTTTTTAATATTTATAATTATTACAAAAAAACATTTTTATAGAGAAAAAAAACCCCAAGCATTACAGGAAACGGATTCTCATTTCAGAATTAATGCTGTTTGTTGGTGGACAATAGAGCAGGCTCTTCCCCTAGGCCCAATGAATTGTGACATCGAGTCGATTGACACCATTATCGAGAACGACATCAATCAATCAAGTGATCTATTTTATCTACCCCGACTTATATTGTTTTCGGACAGATGGTGGAGGGGTGTACAATGTTCATCCGCCTTTTTTATTAATACATCCTAATAAAATGGTTAATTTTTTGTTACTATGTAGCTTGTAAATGATCTCTTGGTTATTTGAAAAAAGGTTGTTTTGAACTTACACCCTAAAAATATGTGCCCAGGATAAAATGTTTAGGTCCCTACGTATCGTATATATAATATTTATATTTTAAGAGTAAAACTAAGGACATGAACCCTAAACATCGAGCTGCTTTGCCCGCTCGTAAACACTTAAGTGTAGACGAATCCGGGAATAAAAGAAGAGTTCCTTACAAAGTACATATACTGATAGTAAAAATACTGTCGTAAAACTGTATTCAATATTTTACTAAGCACGCAAAATATTCTAATAAGATAGTGTGTAGGATGTAAACAACAATATGATAGACTTGAATCCATTATTCTTCTCTCTATTAATAGGAATATGTGATATTGTGAGGAATTATTGTTAAGATCTTGTATTATTGCTAGTAGTATTGAACTATAGATATATCATGATTTTACTGAAATAAAAAGTCAACGTTGAATGAACGTACACAGTTCATTCTAAAATTCGTAACATGGAGCATTCGATTGTGTAGAGCTGTAGCCCATTAGCCGTCCTGATTAACTTGCAAATTTTCGTTCTGTTAAGTTTATCTTTATAAAAATTGTCACCAGGCTAATAAATCACGTTGAAATTTTCTCTCTTCGCTGTGTTCAGGTTCAGGTTCTTCTGTATGGTTTCATGTTGTATTCCGTAACATTCTTTAATGATGTCTTCTACAATTTACGCATACAAATCTTTATGTAATATCATGTACCATCATGCGTACCATTGACGCCATTTTTTATTTCATTTTATTAATTTTATTTTATTATTATTAATTTTGGATATTTTGTATGTTTATAATAAATGATTATTAGATTATTTCGTTTCGCACATGACGTACAATTATAAGGATATATATATATATATGTATTTTTAAAATTTTTTTAAAGTCATAGGGTATAATTTGTCTAGGGGTCCATAGCTCACATACATCTGTGGTGTGGAAAAAGCGGGGACCACATCTGCCTTCGGGCAGACAGTTCGAACCCATCTGTGCCTTGGGGTGTCGAGAGGTGTAGGTTTAGAATTTGGGGGCGAGCATCTCCCAGATAAGGGCAAGGGGGAATATTTATCAATTTACTTTACCTACCGTAAATACTCTTTTTCGACTTTATTGTCGACGTATATCTTCTCCCTAATGGATTTGGCTTCAGCGGGGTTCTTGTTTAAGCTGGGGTAAAACATAAGGCTGTTTACTTTGAAAAAGGTATTTTTTTTAAACTTCTGAATGTTCGAAATTGTTTTAATCCTCATGGCGACCGTGTAATGCTAACGATAAGCAACGGACAATTTGTAAACATTAAAAGAAAGTTTCCCTAGTTCTCGACTACTATCAGTGTCTAATCTTTTTGCAAGCTCGTCTCGAGTACAAATCCGCATTGCGGTCTGTAACGACTTTTATTCGAAGAGGCAAGAAACTTAGCACGAAAAGGCACCCGATGATATCAATATCAATGGTGCCCTTGTTTGATGGTGATGTTTCGTAACCCTTAACGAACCCGGCAGATGAGCGAACGTTGAAACTCGAGGAAATTGATGTTTCATTCACAAGGTTGGACTAACGCTGACAATTCATCATCTAATACTTATATTTTATCATTCGCTAACTGACGAAATCGACTTCAACTGGCCGGTTGAGCAATTCGAGAGATCGCACAAGAGACCAAAAGTCAGAAAAGTTCAATAAAACTTCTCCCCAAAACTAAAAGGAAACTTTTAGGTAGTGATATATTTATCAACTAACGTAAGAATATGTGTTTATATAATTGTTTTCTCGATTCGTTCTTACAAAGCCTTATAAGAAACACTGACAGCATGCGGGTTTTTAAATATTGTGAAATTCAGCTGGGCGTTCGGTGTGTCGTTCATTTATTTTGACCATTGGAAATATGTTCATGCTGAGAAACTAGCTAATGTTCAGATTTAGGTTAAGGATGTTTATCAAAATACCTACATCCACGACCTTTCAGGTATCGCTTTGTTTTTTTCCATCATCTGGTTTTTTTCTTTTTTTAAATATAGGAAAAGAAGAGACAGAAATAAACTCAAATACCACAATGTTCATATTTTTGATTTTACATAGCGAATATTTTGTAGAAAACACCCCACATAAGTAAGCCCAAAATATCTGTAATGTTCAAATGTTATTTTCCTAAACTACCAGTCTTAAATGCGAACGCGCATATTTTTTCAAAAAAGCGAGCGTCAAGAAAGTTGTTTCTAAAATGGCTCAGTGCTTATGGGCGTGAGATAAGAATATATCCTCTTTTCTGAAAATAGTGCGACTGGATGGGTGGCTTTAGAAATCAGAATGGAGCAATGCTGTGCATGACGTCTTTTATCTTATCTCTCCCTGAGGATAACTTCTTTTTTTCATTCTCTGTCTCTTCGCCCCTCCTCCTGCTCAACTGTTCGATGAAAGCTTCGTCCGGGCTTCATTACCCTCGAAGGGGATGCGATATTCTAGCCTTTACAAGCTTATTTATTTTTCCTCAGCTGTACCCAGTGCGTCGCATTAACCCTCATTCCCTCTATTAAGAGTGACTCTTTTTTGTTAATCCCCTATGTGCTGACCTTAATATTAAAAGGGCACCTTTTTTCTTCATATTAACTATCAGTGGTCAAAGTTAATCGAAGGATGACCGTGTGTACAGTAGAACCCGGAAAAGCACATACTTTATTTGTAACAAGCCAGCCATTAGCCGCGAGCTTGTTTACAGAGGTCTTTTGACAGGCACCAAAAGGAAATTATCATCGTCAAGAAAGAGATAATCTTGATTAAGAGGTTATCGAACCAGAAAAGGGCCTTGGTCTCCTCTTCTGCTAAAATAATTAGGATGAACCCTAATAGGCATTTGGACTAAGCACGGTTTATGACCGAACTTCCTTTTCAAAGTTTACGAGAAATCCACCATCGGGCTACTTTCTTTCCTTTTATTGTACTTTCTTGTTTTAATCAACCTTTTGTAAGAAAAAGAAACAAGTTTACAAACTGTAGGCATGTTTGCATCATAATCCGTACGGGCCAGTAGAAAAATTGCGTATATATTCTAGTTTCCTTAATACTTCTTAGTTGTTGTTTTTTAAGCTAAAATATTTCTCATATTCTCTGACGGTTTTTGTCCATTCTATATTGATTACACAACAAAATAAGACTTTGTTTAAATGCCAGGTCCGAGTCATCAGTGTATTAAACCTATACTACACGTACTTATGTAAGGAAGTGGGTTCGAAATATAATTTACTTGCCACATAAATACTCATGCTTCAATATTTTGATCGTGACACTTCTATACCTGGCGAACTAACCTTGGATATTTTTGTCCATGAAACTCTGCAGATAATTAATTTTGTAGCTCCTTTTCCCTTGCCCTTTTATAAATATATATGGTATCTTTTTCTCATTCTAACTCATTATATTATAATCAGTTTTGTTTTTATACCTCGTAATTATAAACTACAATAATCGAATTGTAGGCGAAAGTCTTAACTTTGCATTAAAATTGAGAGGATTCAGTGATTGATTATTGCGTGGTAGTTCTTTATTTGAACACTTGTGTGATTATTATCAAATCGATAAAACAATCCATCGATGTAAAATATTAAAATATTAAATAATGTAAAATATTAATTAACCATCCCAAATTTAATGTTTAAACATTAATTACCAGTTACACACAAAAATGAATGTGAGAAGTTTTCGGCTGCAAACGTCGATTCCAATTGAGACTAATTAATTATTGTACATTATGGAAGGTTAAACCTTGTCTTTACAAAATTATAATTTCTGACTTACTTAGCTTTGAATTTTATATTATGGCAATTATTTATATCATGGCATTGCACAAATTTAAAGGTGATTGATACTGATATATAAGCAATGAAACTAATGTTTTGGACTGATGTTAAAAGCAGGTTCGAATGAAATTTATTTAATATATTGTTATGAAGGAGATGTTTGATTTTAAATTCTCATATAAACGAATTCATGTTTGTGCCTGATTGGTCTTTACTACCACTCAAAACTACTACTTTGTTGTCTCAGCAAGAAAAATGGGAAAACACAATTATTATTAGAAATGATATGATGCATTGCCTTCTGCCATAAAACCATATTAAATAATGAATTAGATAAATTACAAGTCTAAGTACCAAACGTTTTTACCAGTATCTTGTTCATATTAGGCATATCTCATTATTGCCTCAAGCATAAATTCGATTATGATAGACGGTCAAAAGTTAAATTTATCACTGATAAAAAAACACGAATAAAAAAATAAAAAGATGATGTACGATAGTTTAAAAATATACATAAATACCAAACAAGTCCAACTAAATTTTACCCAAGGGTTTTATATTTAACAAACATGGTCCTAAAAAAGGAGAAAGCAATTTGTTAAATAAGGCTTAAAATTTATCCCACAAAAGTTGTTTTATTTTTGTTACTGGTGTTATTTATTAGTTTATACCTTTGATATGTTGTGAGGAACCCAAGACGAAGGTTAATAGGAATGTTAGAATTAATATTATAATTAACATTTTATATATTGTAGTTTGAGGTTATTTTTATTATTATTCGTTATTTCTTCTTGCTGGATTGCCTTCTATTGGATTGCTTCCTGTTAGATTGCCTTCTGTTGGATTGCCTTCTGTTGGATTTCCTTCGAGTCGAACCTCTTGATGACTGTCTTCGAACTGATGTCTGACTATGATGTTTCTTGTCTTTTTTAATTTTTTCTTCTTCTTCGTCCGGAAAAACTTTGTGTTCAGTCCTTCCTCTGTGTATGTCCGTAAATACCCTCTCGTTGGGGCATGCTCGGAATATTATTTCCGCATCGCCTGGATCTTGCGCCGTGTCCTTTTGAGGCGCAGGCCATTCGCCGATGTCTAAACATTGATAAACCGACACTTTGAGGATTTGTTTGCCAGGATTTTTTGATGAAATGGTTCAACGGTTTTCTTACCTTTCCTAATAAGGTATAGAAGTGGGCTGTCGTGTGCTTCCATAATTCGAAATGCAGTTATCATAGAGATGTAATCGTTGATTTGGAAAAGATCACTTCCCTTGTATCTACAATAAAGGGTATATTGATCTCTTGTGGTATGTGGCAGTATTTCCTTGATAGCTAATATTAAATCCTGTAAAAGTTCGGTGTCAATATTGGCATCCTTAAAAATATAGATAATTTATATGTTAGCTACCCGGTATTGCGGATTTATGTAATTCTTCACTAACAGAGGGTGTTCTTTTTCTGACACGTAATCGTCCAATAATTTCCAAACTATTATCAAACGAAATTCTCGAAATGTTGGATTTGACGTATTGTACATATTGCCTACTGACTTCCTAACTATGAACAATTTATTGATCTAATAACGTTAAAAAAAAGTAAAAATAACCATATGGGATTTTTTTCTTTCACTCAATTCCCCTTAAAAACACATTATTGCAAAGTCGCTTGTTTTGTAAATAAGTAATTTATTAATTAATTATCTTGTCGAAAACTATCGGAGTAAACAAAAATAATATCAAAATTAATATATATGGTTATGTGTATTTACTAAATAATTTTTCTCTTATGCTAAAATCATATAAATAACACTGAGTCAAGGTATACAAGTTCATATGTTTTTATAAATTTTTCATTAGTCATTTTGTTTTTAACTTTCGAGGGTTCTTCTTAGTATGATGTAACTTTATTTTGGAGGAGGTTTTGTTCGGCGAGGTGGGTACATTTTCATATTGACACGCTTGACTGACCTTATTTTCTTCATGTAACTTCTTTTTGGAGACATACTCAACCGTTAATTTGATCTGGTTTGGATGTCGTCTTAATTGCGGCCTCGCGTCCAGCCATCTTCTGATATCTAGAGAAAATCATAAAGGCATAGGTTATTAGAAATTTCAAGCATGAAATTAATGACAAAACAATTCAACAGTGATGTACCGTTTTTGATCAAGTACAAGTGGGCTCCGCTATTGCGTACCATCTCTTTGAGAGCAACCACTAACGAGGAATAATCGACGATTGGGCACAATTCGTCCATTCCAGATCTGCAATATAACGAGTATGTGCCGTAATCCATGGTCGGGTAGACTTCCTTCAAAGCGCTTGTCAAATCCTGGAAGAGTATGTCGTTTTAGGATTCAGTGATGGTGGAAGTTGACTTTTATGGATACCTCGAATTCGGGACTCGTGTAATTCTTTATGGCTATTCGATGCTCTTTGGCGGTGATAGAATCAAAACATTTCGATACGACGAAAAGCCGAAATATACCGACCTTCTCGTGGTTTGAGCTCATTGTTAAATCATCAAGTGAATCAATTTTGTTGTATACTACTATTACGATGATACATAAATTTGTTATTGAAACTTTATTTTAAAAAAATACCTCCCGTCATATGGGCGATAAATGAAGAAAAATATTCAAAACTATTGAGTAGAGCATTATATTTAATGAAATATAAATATAAATCTGCTATCACTTTTATTTTTTTTAAATTTTAGTAATTTAAACGTCTGTGTTTATTATTAATGTAGGGGAAATATAGCAATTAAAATAGCAAATAATATGGCATCAAAGCAATTTAACTTTTATATATTTTCTTATTATTTATTATATTATTTTATTATGAGGAATTTGTTTCCTCTCAACAAGTTTGATCTTTATTAATAGATATGCTGAAGATATATTATAATTATTTAATCATCGTAGCATAATATCCTTCAGGGATAAGCAGAGATCCTTCCAAACATCCTAGCAAATTTAGTAATCAAGACAAATATTTTCTTTGCAAAAGATACGCTTGAGTCGTATAAATTCGAATTATATATATATATATATATATATATATATATATATAATTATATAAGTCAGGAAACAGGATATCGAATTTATCAGCTAACTAAAGCGTATTTTTGTTAAGAAAATATTTGTCTTCATTACTAAAAATTTGCTAGGATGTTTGGAAGGATCTCTGCTTATCTATATACATAATTTAACCCTAATTACTACCGTCGGATCGAACATGTTTTGAAAAATTCAGAGTTCATAATTCGTGAATATATATGTGTATTCAAAAAATTAAGTGGTTAACCGAAAGGAGAGGGAATTTACTATGGTTGAACTGCAATACATTCACAAAGGGGAGGGCTTTTATGTTCAATGTGCAATTTAAAAGAAAAGGAGGACATACTCCACTTTTTAGCTATTTGCTCTATCCTGAAAGTATTTCGATTAAAATGGTTAAATAAAATAAAATCCTCTAAAAGTGAAACAGTGGCGTTCCTCTATGGCAAAAATTGGTCAAATATGGTTAATTTCATTAAAACAGCCTACAATTATAGAAATATTCTTGTAAAACAAAGTCAATTTACTGAATTATGTTTTTGTTTCTCTAACCTCTAAATAATACTATATTATAAAAGAAAGAGAAAGAGAAAGAGAAAGAGAGAGAGAGTGAGAGAGAGTGGGAGAGACAGGTGAGAGTGTGAGAGAGAGTAGAGAGAGACGGGTGAGAGAGAGTGAGGGGGAGAGATGTAAGTATTCGTGATTCCTCGGACAGTAAAATGCCATGCAGTAGTCAGAAATGATTATATTATAATTATTGTCGAGAATTACAATTTTGTATTAACTATATTCAGAAGTACGTGCAAAAAGGTGTGTAAATAATGACATTTATTCTTATTCTTATTCTTATTCTTATTTTATATAATAGCAAATATTAATAAGGGGAAATTAATTAATTAAAATTGAAAATTGGTTTAAATTATTATATAATTATTGAATTTATTTAAAATATGCATCTTTGAGTCTGTTTGGTCACTAAATTCGCATTCCTGATTCTGTAGTTTGGTCGTTTTCAGTCTTTCTGGTTCCCTCAGAGATCGTGGTGTCAGTTTCGTAACTTTGCAAATCTTACCGAAATGTTGCACAAGTTTGGTTTTAGTTTGATTTTACAATTACATACATGAACCATTCAGGTTCATCACTCCCTGTGATTTCATGGAGATCTACAATTCGGAATTATTTTTAGTTTTCTAATTTAATAAATTATATGTTCCAAAGCTCTTCGTTTGATGCGCAAAGAGTTGTTTGAGTGCAATAGGGAATGAACAACATTATTTCATATCTTTCCAAGAGATTTTTGTTTAATGTGATGTAAAATTATGAAATTATTTGTCCTACTAAGGACAGTTTCACGGGTGGTATACGTCGTAGAACTTTCAATATTTCATTTGGCTTTTTTTTCTCGAAAGGGTATAGTTAATAAATACGAGTTTGACCACGTTGTCCGTTTATGCCGGTAAACCTTCTTAGCAAATAACTAATTATTCAGGGGGATCCTAATTGAAGGGGACGTTGATTAGCTTTAAGGTATTACGGGGCAAAGTCTATTAGGTATATACATTGGCGCTGCCCCGGATATTACAAAGTAAAGCCCCCTTTTGCTTAGTTTCCGGCCAGGACAGATGGTTTCCCCTCGCTCACCTGGTGCATTTGAGATTTCACGATGATTCCGTTGAAGTGCCAATTTAATTGTTTCCGTTTTGTTTTTTAAATTTGGTTCGCAAAAAAATCAATAAAACCTTGGCATATTCGGAAAAGCCAATTGAATTGTAGGTTCAATTGTCTGAACCTATAGGAAACGTTAGCTTGCAATGCCCAAACCTTGTATGGTATAATTTTATGGCATTTTAGGACAGTCTTTATTGTATTTGTTTATGCAAATTTTACCGATTCTTTATGCATATTATTCCAATTTTTCTTTACCTTCATCACAGTCATCAATAAGTTATCGAGTAAAAAAGTGTGCAGTAACGAATAGCGAATAACCGATACAGTAAACAGTAAAATATCGGTACTTTTTCCGCAACCCTAGTTATCTTTAAAGTGAGGGAATGGATAATTTTATTGTCATAATAGTACATGAAAACAATCATAACGTAGTTACAAGGAATAAGAGACATAGTACTATAGTATTATAATACCATTTTAAGTTAGATTATGAATTACTGGATTATTAAAAGAAATAATTGTTAGGGATTATTAGGGATGGATTAAAAAGCCATATACTGAGGATATAGACAAGTATGATCAAACTATATCAAATATATTAAATAATTTAAAAGTAGAAAACGGGTTATTAAATAGAAACATTAATAATCATTAACATTTTTTTTGTAAAAAGTAGACTGTGTTCTGGAAGATGTGACTAGATAACCGATATTAAAAAAAAAAAATAAATAGAATTGCACTTTTATGAATAAGGACAAATATCTTTACGAACATTACACAAATAATAATTGAGTTTATTTAATTAGTTGTAAATTTGGATTTCATTGCATACTAATACACGACGTTATACATATTTTCAGGTAATTGAACGATCATGAAGGTTAAGGTTATGATATCCTTCACCGAGTTTTTATAGCTTTTTTGTGCATGGGGATTGATGCGATCGACCTTTTTTGTAAAAATATGATAGCAGATCTTCTATTTGAGGAATTTTATGTTTTATTGGTACAAGTACATCACAAACGTGTTTAACGGTGGAAAATCACTCGTGGCGCCTAAAGCAACTCGGAGATGAACGCCCCTCGTAATCTTTTACGGTGTTTGCGACACTAAAGTTTTATTATTTACAGACAGCTTGTAAATTCGAAGGGGGATCAAAGGGAGAAAAACGTCTATAGGGGAGTGGGCGTCTCATGGAATCAGGCCCCTTTGAAGGAAACCCTCGGCATATGTTGCTGTTATGATTATGGAATGGCGAAGTGTCGATTTTTTTCTGGAAACTATGGTGTTTGTTTATGGCAATCGTAGCGTTGTGCATTGTAGGTGATCATAGAAGGTGAGGTCGTTTTTTCGAATTTCCCCTTGCCTTTTGAATGGCTCAATCATTAAACCGTTAGCGTCAATAGCGTCCTTGATTCCGTTCTGATTGTTTTTTCTTTTCTCTTTATATTCACGTCTGATTAAAAAGAACTCGGCAAATACCGTTTGTAGTTCTTATTAAACGTTTTGTTTACTAATGGATTACATTACAAAAACAAAGTACCTTTGTCATTTTTAGGTCTCAGATTGAGATTAATTTTACAATTTTTGGATTTTTTCTAAATGTAATTACTATTACGTTGTCAAGAAAGTAATAAATGTGGTTTAAATAATTTCTTTTAAATTGATATAAGACCAAACGTGTACGGTTTAAATTAATTCAACATGTATTTTTCACTTTTTCATTAACATTTCGCCACTTTTCAAGTGGAATTTAAATCTCTTTCAACTCATTAAAAATTATGATCCATGATTTGGATATCTTGAAAATGTTGATTCATTGTTTTATCCATTAAATGGATTTATTTTGTCATGACGGAAGCAAATACTATGGAACTGTTGAAACTGAACTTTTGCACTAATCCATGTCGCGCTATGTGATTTTGCACGTGTGGGAAACATTTAATGTCTGGAGTTGTCAAATGGATTTTCTATCGTTTTACGCCTCAATAAATCGTCTTCAATATAAGATATCTTTCTGCGAGCTTCATCTTTAAAAATAAAATTAACACGGGACACACATTTTCAAGTGTAACTGTTGCATTTTTCCTTTTCGGGATTCGTAAAGAATAAACTGCCACAAATGCTCGAATAAAGAATTATGACATAAAAACCGACTCACAATTTTTAATTTGGAATAAAGAGCGAGTTCCCTCCGTCCCAGTCCCAAGATGAAGTAAATGGTCGAATGTTGAAAGGGAGAAAAAAGTGCAGGAACATTCGAAATAGTGCAACATTGCTTCTCACTTTTCCTGGTTGTACACGCATTCATCATCAACAGCCCTTTTCAGGTATTATCATTCTTGAGTATCCCTTCTTGTTCCGTTGTCCAGAATCCGAGATTAAACTAATTATAAAGGGAAAGGCCAGGCGGTAAAGCAGTCGAGTCGAGGCTACGAGGGTGCGAGGTTTGCATTGGGAGGTTTGGGGTAGCGTTGCTATGGATACTCCCTGCTGCTTGTCATTGTCTACCGCCTCTGCCCCCGCAGTTTCTGCCACCCGTTGGAATTATGGCCGCCTCTTTTCAATATCCTCGAGGAAGGGGTCCCGAGACACTTACCTTGCAATATTTACCCTGATATTTCATCCTAGACTGAAGGGAAGCGTCTTGTCGCCCCCTTTAATTGGCTAAGCACCTATAAAAAGGTATACCGCCTTTCAAGAAGTTTACCATGTTTGCACACTCGTAAAACTGCCCCTTTTTCAACGATAAGTGTATATTTGTTTAAAATTCATATTCAACCTTGCACCATCCGTCGTACGTGCACTTCATTGATTTGCTACCTTATATTGTTCAGATAAAGAACTAGTTTATGTGCATGTTGTAATTTTATATATATATATTTTATAACCTTTATATAAAATGGTATATTT